CCTATTGCTCCTATTTGCTTACGTATCTCCGTAGTCTCTTTTGAATTTGGGCGCCATCGTAACCAAAGTCATTATAAAGTACCTTTGTGTCCACAATAGGGCTAAAACTATAAATAATTAAATACAAATAACGATTAATCAATGCTCGCCTCCTTATTACGCATTATAACACATTTTCGTTACCAAATATTATCGACGTCACGGTAGAAAAACATGGCAATGTCATGGGTAAGTTTGTTTGTTGGAAAAACCTTTTTTTTTTGAGGGGGGAAAATCATCCAATGACTTCTCCCGCCTGGGTGAGGCGAGAGGGAGTGTCAGACTGACTAAAATCCACCCCGTTCCTACTTCTGCACTTCGAGCCGGAGCCTCGGTAACCCGTGAAGTCTTCCGCGGCTCCGTATCGGCATCAGCACTGTCGGGCCCCATCTGTGGTGGTCTGATGGCTCCTTGAAGTGCGCGCGGAACAGGACGCGCCGAACGCTCGGGCCTGGTTCTGGTCGGGATGCGAGTCACCCGTGCTCGCCGTCCGCAGGCCCGTGTTATTTGAAAAACCTAAATAGATGTGAAAATATCTATTATTTAACTCGTCGAGTAACGGTTTTGTAGACTTGTAGAACAATAGGTTTCGGTCACCGGTGACCGATTGGTGTTTGACAGTTTAATATGTTTGTGGCGACACATGTCACATTCTAACGGATGACGTCATAAAAATCCTACATCGCACTTGCGATGTTTACATTTTATTTAACACGGATAGAAAATCCCAACGAACAACTGTTGGGCAGAAAGCCCGCCAGGCACGATCACCTCGCCTGGTCGGAGGATCCTCCTTTTCCGATCTTAGGGAACTATACTCTCTGTTCCCTAAATGTTTTTTTTTATTAGTAGACGCTGGGCCTCTATCTCGCTCGCCTGATTATGCAGCCTACGACGGAGCACGACTGGCCATAAGCAACCTATTCACTCGAGCCTTGATACCATCCAGGTTTGTCGAGTGAGTGAGGTTACCGGAGGCTCAATTGTCCCCGTACCCCTGAATTCCCAACGATTCTTAAATTCGTATCCCAAATGGCCGGTAACGCACTTGCAACGCCTCTGGTGTTTCGAGTTTTTATGGACGACATCAATTGCTTACCATCAGGTGATTCGTCTGCTTGTTTACCGGCTTACCCCATAAAAAAGCCTGACGCAGGTCCTCGCGGAGAACCTAACGGGTAACCGTCACGAACCTAAAGGAACGGGGTGGTTTTTAGTCAGTAAGAGTCTGACACTCCCTCCCGCCTCACCCAGGCGAGAGCAGTCATTCGATGATTTTAACCATTAAAAAAATGCCCATAAAAAATGTTACATCGCTTTGAACTGAATTAATCTTCTTGAAATTCTACATAAATAAAGTTGGGAGAACAGGGAAGGAAATACGACTAAGAAACGAGTAGAACTGGTGGTAGAATCCTAGTATAATTTCCACCGAAAAACAAAACGTTGTAATTGACACAGCTGTTAATATATTTGTCCAATAAAATATATAAATCTTGTCAGCTCTTTGTGGGCGGCGCAGTGGCATAGCAGATGTATTAAATCTGTCCACTTTGGTGCTTACACTACCATGCGCGCTTTATTTGGATTTATAATTGCTGTGATAATTGTAAGTAAAATTATATACATACATACATAACTTCACGCCTGTCTCCCATGGGGGTAGGCAGAGAACGCCAATTACTACGATTCTTACATACCTCTTTCGCTTCATTAGCAGTCATCAATCTTTTCATGCATGCTCGTCGGTTAAGGGTACTTTTAATTTGGCCCTTCTTTAATATTTCGCCAATCTGGTCACTATATGTCCGTCTAGGGCGCCTTCTACCGACGGCCCCATTCATATCCGCTCTGTATACTTCTTTCGTTACTCTACTTTCATCCATCCTTTCTACATGTCCAAACCAGCGTAACATTCCCTTTTCAATCCTTGTCACTACATCATCTTTCCATCCACACCTTTCTCTAATAACACTATTTTTCACTCGATCACTCAATTTTAGTCCACACATACTTCTTAGGGCTCTCATTTCCACCGCATTAATCCTGCTTTCATGCTTCTTCTTCAAAAAATTATATCTACTATTTTTTAACATTAATGTGTCCCAAAACGCAATAGAATAGAAGTGATCGGACAGAGAGCTAGCTATCGACGGACATAGCCGTACCAAATTGTAGTGATTCATAAAGGACTCGTCAGTTTTGTCGAAGAATCAATGACCATTGGGGTATGGAATAGACGAGGTCCCGAGACCGCGACTACGTTTGCCTAGTCGCAGTCTCCGGAGCGTAGCTCTACAGTTGCCCAGCCGGGCTACGGATATCCTCGCGCGATACCGTGGCTCCAGCTCAGAACTGGACAGGGAACGGGGTGGTTTTTTAGTAAGTAAGAGTCTGACACTCCCTCTTACCCAACCCATGGTGGGAAAAGTCATTGGACGATTTTACCTCTTGGAAAAATCGGACGCCTTCCAGCTAGGGAGGGTCACGATATCCGCAATGTAGCAGTGGTTGGTTTACAAAAAAATTTAGTATTCGAGCAACCAAAATAAAATAAATATAACGTGCACACTTTCATCTCATAAATTACTTGAAATTCCAAAATCAAGTTAAAACAATGATGTAGAAAATTAAACAACTGTAGGTAGGTAATTAAAGTATTGAAACAATTAAATTTTGACTGGCATTAAAAGACCACAAATTACATTTTCTCCTGACTACTCGGAAATGTTTGTGGGACAACCGCGACTGACGGCTACAACTCGTCACTCCGAAAAAAAGGTAAAAAGTGCAATGTATTAAATTAAATTAACGACAGTGACTAGTGAACTTAAGACATATAAATATTTTGCAGGTCCAAGTGACAATAACAGCAGGCCATTTATCAGGTAAGAATAATAAGCTTACTATAATATGATCAAGGGGTTTACTCTTGAATCCGATTCCGATCGATCGTCATTGATATTGTGAAACGTACTCTTGAATTGAGTTGCAACACTAGCGCCCATTGCATCCGTATGCGTGGATATTGAATGAACTAAATGGTATTGAATTTGTCTTTATATTCCGTACTCTGAATGCTATTGTAACAGCTACGATTGTGGTTGTATAGTGTTGACATTGAATAATTATTGAGATTTTATTGGATTGAAATTGCATTGACACTGAGATTGGTTTCAAGAGTAAGCACCCTGATGTATGAATGTGATGGAAGGTAAAGAAGTAATAATTGTAAGGAGCGTAGTAGGTGGCGCTCTGTAGTTTCTGTATACCATCAGATGTATGAATGTGATGGAAGCTAAAGAAGTATGTAAGCGCGTAATAGGTGGCGCTCTGTAGTTTCTATAATAAGGTCCCTAATTTTTTTATGAAATAAACCGGTAAACGAGCAAATAGCTCAACTGATGGTAAGCAATCAGCGTCGCCCTCAGCGCCTTTCCCCTTCCATTTGAGCATTGTGTGAGATTCAGGAATTAGGGAGATTGAGAAAGGGGGGGAGGTGGTAATTTGGCCTCCGGTAACCTCACTCACACGACGAAACACAACGCAAGCATTGTTTCACTATGGTTTTCTGCTCGTTGGTGGTATCACTCCGGTTGAGCCGGCCAAAGCATGGCTCTCCCACAGTTAAAGTGGTCGTATGGAAGTTGGTTGCGACATGTGACATGCGACATAAGGTCATGACATTGTTCTATCTTCACCAGATGATGGAGATAAACCTCACTACCATCGGAGAGGTAGGAAGTATGCTGACGAGGAGATCAGCTCCGAAGATGATAGCAGCGACTACCGTGGGAGAAGGGAACGTAACAGAAAAACTGATGGTAAGAGACGAATTACTATTTTAACTCGCATAATATGCCCGTTTTTATCAACATCTCTTAAATTTTAAGGAACCCTTAGCTAACATAAGTGACGCTTAACGACATTTTGGTTCTCATAAACTTATAAGTGACAGTTAGGAGTTAGTTTATGTGCTTCCTCACGCCAAGTAACCTCAGTTGAGAGTTGATTTAGGTGTGGTTTATGGATCAATTTCTCGGACATCTATATAGTACGATACTATCTAGAAGTGAATGCGGAGCGGTCCGGCGCGTAAACAAGCAAACTGTCGAAACAAATTTGTGATTTTTTTGTATATTTGATGGGCCGACGTTTGACCTCTATCTCGCCTATGGGTAAGCGGTGATGCGGTCTACGATGGAGCACGTCGTCCCATAAGGAACCTATTCACTCGGGCCTTGAAGACATCCAGATTATACCCTTCTTTTGTTTGGTTATAATGACGGAAACAAAACCGAAACAACGATTCGCATGCACGTAGTACACAGCCGCCACGTCGCACGGCATCGCATTGAATTTGTGCGTCACCATCTCATAATCGCGTTCACTTATACATGATACGGGACGTAACGTTATTGTGATATTTTCATATTATTCTTTCAGATGCTGACGCCGAACAATCCCTCTCCAGCGGATTAAGAAGTGTTTTAGGAGTTCGAAGTAAGTCTTATCAAAGTCAAAATCATTTATTTCAATTGTGATCAACTGCTTGTTTAACCGCTCGTCTTGCGATGCGCAAGCGCCAAGTGGCTGGCCATAATAAAAAAATTGCAGTCTCGTGAGTTTTGAAAATTTCGCCACGATCTCCGGCCACCGTAAGCGCGGGCCTGCGGACGGCGAGCATGGGTGGCTCCCCGTCCGACCAGAAACAGACCCGAGCGTACGGCGCGTCGCGTTCCGCGTGCGCCTCAAAGAGCCATCAGACCACCACAGATGGGGCCCAACAGGGCCGATGCCGATTCGGAGTCGCGGAGAACCTAATGGGTAACCGGGGCTCCGGCTCGACGTGCAGGATAAGGAACGGGCTGGTTTTTAGTCAGTAAGAGTCTGACACTCCCTCCCGCCTCACCCAGGCGGGAGCAGACATTCGATGATTTTCACCCCTTTAAAAAAAGCCTTACAAGTCAATTGTATCAAGCGAACGATGAGGCCGACATTTCCTAACTGACTACTCTGAGACGAAACGCCGGAACAAATTCAGAGGTCCGAACCGAGTATTATAAGGTTCTTGTTTGATTCGTTTTTATTATTTTCAGATCAAAATGAAGCCGGCGATCTTCTGTACCAATTAACTGGATTCCGAGGTAGGTTACGTCCAAAATTAAAAGCTTTTTTCAATATATTTACGTGAGTAATTACCGGATACTGAAACGTCACTCAATAGGGTAGTTGCCAGGGAATGAAAATTAAAAATCGAATTAGTCCGTCAGTTAGATAACGAAAAAATATTAGACACGTATTTTTTTATTTTCTCGTATAAAGTTACAATACTTAGATAAAATGGAGTAAAGTTTAGGAGTGGGAGGTCGTTTCGTTACGTCACTAAGTGCTACAAAATGTAGCGCATAGTGACGTCACACGATATTTCAGATTATTACCTATATCGTGGATAGTATTTAATTTTGTGAGAAAAGAAAAAATACGTGTCTAATGTTTTCAATTAATCTACCAGACGTACATTAAAATAAAATTTAGGCAACTACCTTATTTTAAGTCCATTTGGAGAGCCATGCTTAGGCACGAATGGGCCGGCTCGACCGGAGTGATACCACGGCCGAGCAGAAAACCGACGTGAAGCAACGCTTGCGTTGTGTTCCGTCGTGTGAGTGAGGTTACCGAAGGCCCAATTACCTTCCCCTTCCCCAATCTCTCCAATTCCTGAATATCCAACGATCCTCAAACTCCTAACCCCCAAAAGGCCGGTAACGCACTTGTAACTCCTCTAGTGTTCCGTGTGTCCATGGACGACGCCGATTGCTTACCATCAGGTGATCCGTTTGCCCGTTTACCGACTTATACCATAAAAAAGTCAATCTTAAGTATAGTTCTGTACCTACAAATTCTTTGTAGCTTGACAGAGATAGCATGATATTCAGCATTTCAGTATTCGGTCGTACACCGTTGTTTTTAATTCATAACATAACATAACATCACGCCTGTTTATCCCCGAAGGGGTAGGCAGAGGTGCACACAGAAGTAACACCTATTCACTTTCACTATTTATGTTATGAGTCCCATGTAATAGGGGTGAGCCTATTGCCATATACCGGTTTTTAATTCATTCACACCAGAATACTAAAAGCCTACCCAATTGGGTACTTTTCTTAATCAACAATAATTTATTTCGACTGTTCAATACAATAACATATTAAAAAATAATCACACTTTCAATAATTGATTTTATGACCAACTTAATTTTAGTATTATTCTAGCAAATTTTTAAAAAATTAGTATGCTGTTTGTCGCTAAAAAAATGTGACGTCACAATACATAATAACATAACATCACGCCTTTTATCCTCGAAGGGGTAGGCAGATGTGCACATTACGACACTTAATGCCACTGTACAATGTAACACCCACTTTTCACTATTTATGTTATGAGTCCCATGTAATAGGGGGTGAGTCTATTGCCATATACCGGGCACAATTCCAGACTCAGTACTACTACTGAATTTTTTAAAACCCAGTTATACTTTGCCCGACGCGGGAATCGAACCCGAAACCCCTTGCCCGGCAGTCACACGCCTAACGAGGCAGGCAGGCAATAGGTTCGATGAAATTTAAAAAAAGGTAGAGACTTCGTTTCTTTGTTTCTAACTTGTACAATATAACGATTGTATTGCTAATTTAATATAATATTTATTTATTATTCACATACCTTTAGTTTATTAAACAAACTATGTATGTATGTATTGTCAATTTGTTATACATATTCGTCATAATTCAAGAGGTCAACGTACGCAAGACATACCAAATTAATTATTATGTTTTCGACTTACTCACGTAGGTAACTGTTTGACGACGAACTCGACTTTTCTGTGGACTTACTCTTAAATCCAATTCCGATCGATCGACATTGATATTGTGTCATACTCTTGTCGCGGAGAACCTAACGGGTAACCGGGGCTCCGGCTCGACGTGCAGGTGAAGGGACGGGGTGGTTTGTAGTCAGTAAGAGTCTGACACTTCCTCCCGCCTCACCCAGGCGGGAACAGTCATTCGATAATTGACCCCCTTAAAAAAAAACTCTCGAGTTGAGCACTAGCGCCCATTGCATCCGTATTGCGTGGATATTGAATGAACTAAATGGTATTGAGTTTGGCTTTATATTCCGTACTCTGAATGCTATTGTAACAGCTACGATTGTGGTTGTATAGTCTTGAAATTGTTCAAATTAGTTCAGCCGTTTAGGATAACTAACCTAGACATTGACTGCAGCGCCATCTGCCGGGCTGTTTTTTGAATCTAAACCATCCAGGGCGTCGCGGAGAACCTAACGGGTAACCGGGGCTCCGTCTCGACGTGCAGGAGAAGGAACGGGGTGGTTTTTAGTCAGTAAGAGTCTGACACTCCCTCCCGCCTCACCCAGGCGGGAGTAGTCATTCGATGATTTTCCCCCCTTAAAAAAAACAAAAAAAAAGACACTGACTGCAGCGCCATCTGCCGGGCTGTTTTTTGAATCTAAACCATCCAGGGCGCCGCTCAAACGGGTATAGAAAAATTCATTTAAATCGGTCAAGCCGTTTAGGAGGAGTTCAATGACATACACACGTACAGCAGAATTATATATATAAAGATATATAGATATAGATAGATATGTTTTACTAGATTATCTTTACCTAACCTATCCTCATGTCGCGGAGAACCTAACGAGTAACCGGGGCTCCGACTCGACGTGCAGGAGAAGGAACGGGGTGGTTTTTAGTCAGTAAGAGTCTGACACTCCCTCCCGCCTCACCCAGGCGGGAGCAGTCATTCGATGATTTTCCCCACTTAAAAAAAAAACCTATCCTCATTCAAAATTAAAACTATTATAAAAGAAAACATTATCACGAATGTTCCACTGAACGGTAAATCAAAGAAAAGATTTATAAGTAAGGGGATTATATTACATTGTATTTGTACAAGTGTTGGGCGTATGAAATGTAACCTCGATTCGCACGACGGCCATTGTAGTTGGAACAAAGACGTGCGGGTCTATGTACATAGTTATATATATAACAATGTTGGTATATTATGTATATTCTAAGAAAACTTCGGTTTTATATTGCCAATTTTCTTTTGAATTACTACGGTGGCGTTATGGTTTACATAACATCATAACATTACGTCCTTTATCCCCGACGGGGTAGGCAGAGGTGCACATTATACCACTGTACAATGTAACACCCACTTTGCAATATTTATGTTATGAGTCCCATGTAATAGGGGGTCAGCCTATTGCTATATACCGGGCACAATTACAGACTACGTGCTACTACTGAGATTTTTTAAAACCCAGTAATACTTTGCCCGATCCGAGAATCGAACCCGAGACCCCTTGCCCGGCAGTCGCATTGCGACTACGTTATGATTTAATATTTTATATAAATGGCGTCTACTAAGCAAGGGGTTTCGAAAGCCCGCACACACCTTCCTAAACTGTTGCAACTCCTGTACACAAGGATCTATAGTAGATCCTCAAGGAGCCATCAGACCACCACAGATGGGGCCCAACAGGGCTGATGCCGATACGGAGCCGCGGAAGACTTAACGGGTTGCCGGGGCTCCGGCTCAAAGTGCAGGAGTAGGAACGGGGTGGTTTTTAGTCAGTAAGAGTCTGACACTCCCTCTCGCCTCACCCGGGCGGGAGAAGAAATTGGATGATTTGCCCCCTTCAAAAAAATACTGTTATAGCTGGCTTCCAATAATATTTATAGCACACAAGTACCTATTGAGTGTTTTTGAGATTTTCGGAAACTGTCAGTAACATCACGAATTAGTTATAAAGTTTTAGGCTTATTCATGTATCTGTTTGACGAGGAAATCGACAACTTTCTAGCCATCTTAGAGGCTAATATTCATGAGCAGCATTCCGCGAACACGACGCGTGAATGTCTACTACTCTAGCATGACTTTTTTTGAGGGGAGAAAATCATCCAATGACTTCTCTCGCCTTGGGTTAGGCGAGAGGGAGTGTCAGACTCCTACTGACTAAAAACCACCCCGTTCCTGACTCTTGCTCTTCGAGCCGGAGCCGGGAACCCGTTAGGCCTTCCGCGGCTCCGTATCGGGCAATTAGCCCTACTGGGCCCCATCTGTGGTGGTCTGATGGCTCTTTCAGGCGCGCGCGGAACGCGACACGCCATACGCTCGGGACTCTAGCATGGCTTGAAACTAGTCGAGCTCCTCGTCAAACAGGTATGTGTAAGCCGAAAACACAATAAGTAATTTACCATGTCTTATGAAAGTTTTAATATAAAAACCTATAACAACACAGAGCCTAGAATTGTACTTGGTACGACAATAGGCTTACCCCCTATCATGCTAGCCAAAGAGGAGGCAGGGCGCGTGATCGCGTGACGATCTCCGGTCGCCGTATATGCGGGTCTGCGGACGGTGAGCAAGGGTAGCTCGCTGCCCGACCAGAATCAGACCCGTGCGTACGGCGTGTCACGTTCCGCGCGCTATCTGAAAGAGCCATCAGACCACCATAAATGGAGCCCAGTAGGGCTGATGTCCGATGGCGGGAGCAGTCATTCGATGATTTTCCCCACTTAAAAAAAAAAAAAAAAAAACGTAAAGGTTACGTAGGTACTGAAAAGTGAGTGTTACATTGTATATATTTGTGCATTATTTCTCCTCTTCGAGAATAACATAGCGTGATGTTTTGATAATGTACTATGAGTTCGTATGCGCTTTCGAAGTTTGCTTTTTGCCAGTTATTTTTTGTTTTGAACATTTTATTTCTTTGTAAAACTATTGTATTACCGAGACAGAGCCATTTTACTTCGGGACGAAAACGAAATAGATATCACGGTGTATAATATAATTTGTTTAATTTATAATTACAGATGAAGCCGCTGCCATGAAATACATTGAAAATCTAACAGGCCTTACAGGTAAGATAATATTTACAAAATTACAGACACACCTGGGGGCTTACTCTTGAATCCAATTCCGATCGATCGACATTGGGATTGTGAAATTTCGTACTCTTGAGTTGCAACACTAGCGCCTTGCATCCGTATTGCGTGGATATTTAATGAACAAAATGGTTTTCAGTTTGGCTTTATATTCCGTACTCTGAATGCTATTGTAACAGCTACGATTGTGGTTGAATAGTGTTGACATTGAATAATTATAGAGATTTTATTGGATTGAAATTCCATTGACATTGAGATTGGTTTCAAGAGTAAGCACCCTTATTATAGGATCTACGTCCGCTCGGAACAACTCGTTGCAATATCATGCTACATATGACAAAACTGTCAGTATTAAGTCCAACTTAGGGCTCGTACACAAAACTGCGATGCGACGTCGCATGGCAAAAATGTGCGAGCTCCCTCTACGCATCGCAACAACTCAAGAACTTGCGAATTCATTTGCATCGCGCATCAAAATCTTATCTTCCCAAAATCTTCTTTATTTCTTTTTCGTCTATCTCCTAAGCAATAACAGAAGTGCACACTTCTTTTTACGATCCATGTCACGACCTAGTTTTCAATTTAAAATACGTTTAGTACGGTTGACGGTCGAAGGAATGGTCACCCTGAGTTCTCCCAGGGTGACGTGGAACGAACGAACACGAAAACAAAAACGATTCAATTAATAAAAACAATTTCTTTTTGTCACAGTTTCGGGAGCGTTCCATTTACACTCTGTATTGTATAAAATTCTAGTATTGGACAAACTTAAGATCGCTCAGAGACCCCTATTTTTTAACAGATGACCAGAAAAAACTGAAATTCTTGAAGAAATGCAAGGGAGCCAGGTCTTGGCATCGCGTTGTGGACTTTATGGAGCTTATGGACGACGCCCCGGGTAAGTCATAATGGCTTTTAACAGCTGAAATCAAGTCTTTTAGTTAACTACCTGTTGCTCGCGAGTTTATCCGCATCTGGTAAGCGATGATGCGGTCTACGATGGAGCTCGTCTGCCCATAAGCAACCTATTCACTCAGATCTTAAAGACACCCAGGTTATATAGGTACCCTTCAGGAAACACAGACTCTGGCAAACAATTCCACTCCTTAGCAGTACGCACAAGGAAGCTTGATGCGAAGCGCTTCGTGCGTGTGGGTGGGACATCCACCATGAATCGGTGACGCTTCGCCGATTGACTTATGTCCCCTGCGACGTTGATGTTGCCAGGAATGTCGACCAAAGTTCGGCAAGGTCGCACTACTTCACCCAACGTCGCTGGCGACTAGTGTCTTAGTCCCCTATTGTATCCTGGGCTTTAATTAAAATTAAATATTTATTTTTATGACTGCCTCGTTAGTCGATTGGTCGCATGTGCGACTATCGGTGTCGGGTTCGATTCCCAGGTTGGGCAAAGTATTACTGGATTTTTAAAAAATTCTCATTAGTAGCACGGAGTCTGGAATTGTGCCCGGTATATGGCAATAAGCTCACCCCCTAATACATGGGACTCATAACATAAATAGTGAAAAGTGGGTGTTAGAGGTACATTGTACAGTCCCAAATTGTACACCTCTGCCTACCCCTTCGGGGATAAAAGGCGTGATGTTATGTTATGTTATTTATTTTTATGCCAAGGTAGCCATTCAAAGATTATTAAATGTTCTTTATTGAATTTTTCAGTTCTGAAAACGATTGTGGTGATCCTGAAACAGATGACCAATGAAGGCGGTAAGCAAAATAAATGCAACAATGTTTTTCTATTTATCGAATAGTGTATTTTGTAATACCTGGAGGAAAATGCTTGGCGTAACGTGGACTGAGTTCCGCACCAACGTATCCATACTCCGAGAACTCGGCATCACAAAGCGTCTATTAACCATAGATCAGATGCGCATGCTGCAGTACTTTAGTCATGTCTCCCGGCGTGATAGAGCGGCTGGTCGTTGGGGAAAGTAAAGGGAACCAGATAACGAGCCACTGAGGCAGATCACCTATGCGCTGGACTGATCAAGTCAAATCGGCAACATAAACCCAGTGTCAGACTGCGCCAGACAACCCACAAACAGGTAGAGTTGGCAGGAGCTCGTGAAGAAAGCAGTATCTGACTCCAACACAAATATGGCCGCCTTAACGTGACCACGACTGATCTGCCAAGAGCGAAACGACAGAGAAGAAGAAGTATTTTATAAGCATGTAAAATCATCAAATGTCTATTCTCCTTCCGAGTTCTCTTTTATGGAATAGGAGGTAAACAAGCAGACGGATCACCTGATGGTAAGCAATCGGCGCCCACCTGCAACACTAGAAGAGTGAAGCGAGGAGTATCAACACTAGAGGACTACAAGTGCGTTGGCGAACTTTAGGGATCAGGGATCAAAGAGCCATCAGACCACCACAGATGGGCCCAGTAGAGCTGATGCTGATACGAAGCCGCGGAAGTCGTAACGGGTTACCGGGGCTCCGGCTCGAAAAGCAGAAGGAGGAAAGGAGTGGTTTTTAGTCAGGAAGAGTTTGACACTCCCTTTTACCTCACCTTTTTTTTTTAAGGGGGGGAAATCATCGAATGACTGCCCCCGCCTGGGTGAGGCGGGAGGGAGTGTCAGACTCTTACTGACTAAAAACCACCCCGTTCCTTCTCCTGCACGTCGAGCCGGAGCCCCGGTTTACCTCACCTAAGGCGGAAAATGTCATTAGACTTTTTACCCTAAAATAAGGTGTCAGTCAGTGAATTTGAGGATTGTGAAGATTGGGGAGGGAGGAATATACTTAATTTTTAATATTGTCATATTAATTACAGATGTGCTGAAAGCATTTTCAATGATGAAACCACTGATTGGACACGACGACTTCGACGGAATTCTTGAGAGTCTACAGAAAATATCTGGAGACAGAGGTAATTGACTTACATAAAACTTTAAATTAAGATGTGTTAAGATGTTTGTTATCCTTTTCTCTTAAAATAGTGAACCAATTTTTATGAATTTTGGTATCGGTATAGATTCCTGTAGACAGTTTTATTTTAAAAAAATATGAATAAGTTATGGTTTTCATTTTACAAATCTATACTAATATTATAAAGAGGAAAGATTTGTACCTATTTTTGTATGTTTGTAATGAATAGGCTCAAAAAGTACTGGGCCGATTTAAAAAATTCTTTCACCAATAGAATTCCACATTCTTCCAATTTGATATACACATTATCACATTTCATTTTGAAAAAAGTTAGGGATCCTTGGTAAAATTTGGACAATGTAACCGAAGGTGTAGAAAAATTAGTCTTAAAATGTCTTTCGTCGAATGCGCTGCCGAAACTATTAGCGATAGAACAAAATAATGTATAATAATATTGAAGAACATCATAATGTCTACAAAAAACTCCGCGGTAGCATATGCCTAACTATTGTAGTTATGTCACTACAACAATCCAAATTTCCAAAAATAAATAATAGTCTACCTCGTGCGAAGCCGGGACGGGCTGCTAGTCATTTATAAAATTATTTAATTTGTTTTTCAGATCCTCATGAAATAGCTGATCACTTCGAACATATCGCTCATACTAATGGTAAGTTATAACTTAGTTATTTTTAATTATAATTTGCCTTGATGGACAGGTGAACAATATCGACTGTTGAACAAAGTGTCCCGGGCTCGATTTACGAGTAAAATACTATAAAGGCCAGGGATTTTCTCATATGGTAACAAGTCCCTGGTAAGGTACTATAATGGCCTTTTTCATATGGTAAAAGACACCCCTATTATATGGGTCTCATAAAATAACGGGCGAAAAGTGTATGTTACATTGTATTATGTCTCTATTTAATTAAAAAGTTAAAATTACTGAAAAAGACGAGAAGACCCTATAGAGTTTTATATTTAAATTAATTAAGATTATTTATAAAATTTTTAATTGAAATTATTTTTAATTATTTTAATTATAACTATTTTAATTATTTTGACCTAAGCTTTTGTGGATTAAATACCCGTGATTTTGTCTTGTGTGATGATGATATAAAAAGATTATATTTATTTTCAGGTGTGGAAGGCCTGAAAATGGAGATATTGAAACTGACGAGTGGCCTTGGTCCGGCTGAATTCCCAAGGTTACTGAAGGTTCTACTGCCAGAAATAGGTAAAATAATAATTAATGAAGCAACTTCATATAAAAAACCGACATGAAACAACGCTTGCGTTGTATTTCGTCGTGTGAGTGAGGTTACCGGAGGCCCAATTTAAGTAAGAAATTAAAAAATACGTGTCTAATGATTTAAAATAATCTACCAGACGGACATTAAAATAAAAATTAGGCATCTACTCTATTACCAAAAGGCCGGTAACGCACTTGTAACGCCTCTGGTGTTTCGAGTGTCCATAGGCGGCGTTGATTTTTTTTCTTCTCCTCTTATAATATCTTCTGATTCACTTCGTTGCCGGAACCAAGACAGTTATTCATGTCCCTGAGACGCGCCGGACTTCAGTGTTCCGGTGTTTTCATGGTTGTATCTACTGTAGATCCTGGCTTGTCCCAATATAAAAGGCGGCGTTGATTGCTTACCATCAGGTGATCCATCTGCTCCTTTACCGGCTTATCCCATAAAAAATCTTAATACGACGTTAAAATTACCGTTCATTCATCATGTCAAACGAGTGGTGAGTGTAGAAGAATACATTTGTCCACTGATTCTCTTCCCGCGGGTGTCCTAGACTTGACTAAAGGAATATACCTACACTTTTGCTAACCTATCGAAGAATAGAAGGCGTGATGTTATGTTCTGTAAAATATCATAAGTGCGATGCAATGGGTCCTCATCATGCACATAAAAAGTTGTTAAATTATTATTTATTTTCAGACCTGAAAGGAGCCTTCAATCTTCTGTTATTGGGTACACGAACAGTGGGTGAGTTCAGTTTAAAAAAGTTAATTTGTAATTAGTAGAACTTTTACACAGATGTTTTTAATTAACAATTTTAGTATATCAATAGTTAATAATAAGATAAAAATAAAAATACAGTCTGAAACTGTCTACAGGATATGTCCCGTAGACAGTTTCTGTAGACCGTACATTATACTTCTAATTATTTTTTACAGACATCGGTGATGCTATCGCAGCGCTCAATCATTTACTGAACACAAAATCACTGACAGACAGTTTAGTAATGCTGAAATCTATCACCAAACAGACCCGTAAGTAATTTTAAAACATCATTATCATCGTCAGCCATTAACTATCCTACTACTGGGCCTTTTGTCACAAGGAGCAGCAAGAAGTATTAAGCCTTTTAAATGTTAAAGGCTAATCCTTCGCTAGCGTCCGACATCATTGACCGACACGGCATCCAACGTGATGAACCACCCTCGAAGAATTTAGGTTTCCTCACCATAGGTATGACCTGGGTGTCTTCAGACCCGAGTGAATAGGTCGTTTATGGGACGACGTGGTCCATCGTAGACCGCATCATCGCTTACTACCAGGCGAGATAGTGGTCAAGCGGTGACCCATCAAAAATAAAATAGAAACCGATGTTTTCTTCTCTGTATTTCATGTCAAGCTAGGTAGGTATTTACCAGGTTTTGAACCCCCCCCCTTGTGCTTGACGAGCTTACCTTAACCCTCCGGGCCATACAGGAAACTAACTTCATTTTAAATTTATTTAATTATTTTTCAGAAACCAAGTACGCTTTAGAAGAACTGACGCAGGCTGTTAATAGAGGAAGTAAGTTATCACTTTTTAAGCTTTAAAATAAAAGAGATTGTGACTAAAAAAGAAAGAAAAGACATAGAAATAAAATACCCCTACATTAAGCAAAGTACTCATCCGTATCACTGTCACTCAACATTCCCAGAAAACTGGCAGCATTGCCACATTGAATGGTAATGCTTATTTTCTGTCCGGAGAAATAGCAAGCCCTCTGGTTGCGTGTAGAGTCGACGTCATAAATTAAAGGTCTTAAGAAACGTCAAGAAATACAAAATAAATAATAGTCTGTCAGTCTAGCCGTTAGTAAAGCTAGTTGCTCGATTCAAAATGTAGGACTTGAATGGATAAGGACCAGCAAGAAACTTTACTTGTTACTGTTTTAACTCGTCGAGTACCGGTTTTGTAGACACAATTATAGAACAATAGGTTGCGGTTACCGGTGACCGCTTGGTGTTTGACGTTTAAAAAGCTATATGTTTTACAATCTCTCTGATACATTATCAAATATTGTACGTATATGTGAAAACAATGCGAAGACACGCTTGAAGCATAATACAGATTACAAAACTTACTAAAATAAAAAATCCTATAGTCTAACGTAGTGGTCACATATGCATACTGACACTCTATAAAAATAGTGCTTCTATGCTCCCGGGCTCTGGTTCGACATGCAGGAGAAGGAACGGGATGGTTTTTAGTCAGTAAGAGTCTGACACTCCCTCTCGCCTCACCCAGGCGGGAGCAGTCATTCGATGATTTTCCCCCCTTAAAAAAAAGACGAAAAAATTCGAAAATCAAGTAGCCAAGCTTAAGCTTTTGTTTTGATCTTTTGATGTTATTTAAAATTAAGACTATATTTTAAAGTCTAACTTTAACGATATTCACTATATCTGCGATTATTTTTAGGTCTCAGGGTGATAATTGAGAACCTACACAAAATTGGAGGAAACGATAATTTGCTGGAAGTTCAAGCGGCTTTCAAAGACGCTTTTGGGACGGACAGTAAGTACCTACACTTATTTATACATATTGTAAGCATCATCTGTAGGTACTCAGGCTAAGATCGATGTGAAATCTTCATAAAACAAGCCACAAAGGTGCGAGTACATCTGTCCGCAGCAAATAGCAGTTTGTGTGCTTGTATAGTTGTGTCATCACTGAGAACTGTCAGTAAATAGAGTGAGAGAGAGAGAGAGAGAGAGAGAGAGGGCGGGAGTGGGACGGACGTAGCGGGTACACACGGACAAGTACACTTATGGCTTGTTTGTGAACATCTCACGTCGGTCTTGGTCTAAGTATATTTAATTTATTATGTATTTAATTTCCTCTTTCAGATATTGTTAATATTATACACAAAATAAACAAAGAGACGAAACGTCAAGATGCACTCTACTTCTTGAATTCTTTGCTGGATGTAACCCAAACGAAAAACATCAGAGAAGCTGCCAAATTCATTTTGGGTCTTACTTCTAAGGAGAGTAAGTAGATTTTAGAATAACATTACACTCCTTTCAGAAGTTACATGAGCTACTGTTTACTAGTGAACATTAGCTCATGACGATACCTAAGTACGTGTGTCGCCTGGACAGTCACCGCTACCATCAGTTGACTGGACAATCTCTTTACATGAACTGCTGTTTACATGTGAACATTAGCTCATGACGATACATCTACATTTCATGAGATCCTGTTTATGTATATTATTTTCTTTTTTTCAGCTAATCTTTTGGACTTTTTGGAGTTAATTCGCGTTAATTCAGGACATGACGATATTATAGACTTTTTCAAAAGGCTGATGTCTATCACTGGAACCAAATGTGAGTAATTATCTTTGTTTATTTAGTTAATTGTGAAAAATATTGTTCAGTCCTCAGTCAAATTCATACTTAGTTGATACTCAGTAGTAAATGAAGTTGACCTGATTAATCTTCTACAAACCCTATTAGAAAATAAGCGGTTTTAAGACATATATTGTTTTTTTATTTACAAGTTAAAATACATCGTGACTCAGTTGGTTGACAAGTGATACTGGATTTCCAAAATTCACTGATCCGAGGCAGCCCAATCAATATCAGCAACAACATCAACAGCCTATAAATGGCCACTGCTGACCAAAGGCCTCTTCTCACACGGTGAAGGTTTCACCACACTTGCTCAATGCGGATTAGCGATTTCAAACTTATAAACTAGAAATTATAAGCTTAGGTTTCCTCACGATATTTTCCTTCACCGTTTGTCAGTGGTGTCTAAATGATCTTAGAAAGTACATACATATAAATCGGAATAACACATAATCACATCACGTTCGCCCAATACAAGGAACTAATAACTTCACTACTAAGTCTACTTTCCTGGTATTGTCTTTGCTTTCAGCTCTCCAAGAAGCGTGGCAAGTGATCGCTACAGTGACATCTATAGATGGTGAGTTTTGGTCCACTTGTGTCTAGTGAAGGATATAGTTATTCAACGGCAAAGTTAATGTTAAAATGCTATCGTTAGGTACATTGGACTGCACGGTTGGCGCGGTGGTTGGGTAACCGGCTGCCGCGCAACGTGTAGCGGGTTCGATTCTCGCACGGAGCAAATCTTTGTGTGATCCACAAATTGTTGTTTCGGGTCTGAGTGTCATGTGTATATGAACTTGTGTGTTTGTAAATACACCCATGACAGAGGAGAAAATCCTAATATGAGGCAAAGATTTTTTATTTTTATTTTACTACACCGTTGGCGCAGTACCTGGGTAATCACATGCTGCATATTGATTTCTTTTCATTTCGTTTTGTTTTTCTGTACTATAATTAAGTCTTGCATATTTTTTCTTTCAGATATATTTGTATTTTTCGATGAAGTGTACAAGTACACGGATGTAGAGGTGATTGTATTCCTGGAAACAATATTACGAGTTACCAACGCTACTAATATTAAGGTTGCCGCTTCCATGCTGAAGAAGATCTGTGACGTCGATGGTAAGTTTTTACTAAAAAGATCTGTCATGAAATGATATATATTTTTGTAACTTGTGGCTGAAATCGATTGTCGATTGATACTAAGATCTCTGTATTGATTCATTGACTAAAATACAAAATACACGAGTTCAATTCTATTGACCAAAAGAGAATTGAACTCATGTATTTTTCTGTACGTCTCTTCTGTGGACAATTCGTGTATCCCTTCTGTGGACAATTCGTGTGTCACTTTTGTGGACAATTTGTTTGTCACTTCTGTGGACAATTCGTATGTCACTTCTGTGGACAATTTGTTTGTCACTTCTGTGGACAAATCTTGTATCTTTTATGTGGACAATTTGTGAGTCCCATCTGTGGACAATTTGTTTGTCACTTCTGTGGACAATTCTTGTTTCTCTTCTGTGGACAATTGGGAAGTATTCGCAATCAGAACTCGTATTCGACATATCGGATTGGACATGTCCGCCAACACCGCGCACTTGAATGGCTTATTGGCTTATTTTAGTTTTAGTTTTATAATTTAACTTTTATCTTTTAATTTTTCTGTTTTTATGCTTTTTTTATATTTATATGTCTTTTCTGGCGTGCATGTCTTATGCCGAATAAACATTTTTCATTTCATTTCATTCATTTCATTTCATTTCATATTATAAATGGTGAAGTGTGGGTGTAACATTTATAATTTATGTCCACCTTTGTCTCAGTATATAGTGTCAAGGAACGCTCCAGAAAATCGCCGACAAGCGATGGTAAAAAGCAAGTTTTATTTTAATACTAGCTTCTGCCCGCGACTTCGTACGCGCAATCCCGTTTTCTCCCGTTCCCAATAGATTGTCAGGATTATTTTTCTATCATAATAAATTGGGTAGTTTCCAGGGTATCAAAATTAAAAAACATTAGTCCGTCAGTTAGATAATGAAAAAATATTAGACACGTATTTTTTTATTTTCTCGTATTAAGTTGCAATACTTAGATAAAATGGCGCTAAGTTTAGGAGTGGGAGGTCGTTACGTCATAACGTGCTACAAAATGTGACACGCTGTGACGTCACATGATATTTCAAATTAATATATCGTCGAAAGTATAGTATTTAATTTGGTGAGAAATGAAAAAACACGTGTCTAAAGTTTTAAATTAATCTACCAGACGGACATTAAATAAAATTTAGGAAACTACCATATTGTAAAACAATTTTTTGTTAGCATTTTCGAGACCGTTTCGTTTACATGATGCGCACATCAATTATATCAAACTCAAACTCAAAAGCATTTATTTCAATTAAACCATAATATGGTACTTTTGAAACGTCAACAAATATGAAATATATAATAGTCTGTCGGTCTGTCCGTCAGTGAAGCTAGGCGCTCGTTCCAAAATATCGATTCGAGTGGAGAACGAGCAAGAAACTCCATTGGTTACTCTTTTAAAAAAAGTCTGTTTTACATTGCTCTGATACATATTCCAATATTGTATACACATGTGAGAATAATGTAAAGACATAACTGACGCATCATACAAATAACAGAACGTACTAAAATAATAATAAAAAAACAAAACCAAAAGAAAACAAATATCTTAAGTCTGACATGGTCCTCACATATGTATACTGACAATCCATATAAAATAGTGCTTCTATACAAGAAAAAATAAATAAAAAAACTCTTGTTTAAATAAAGAAAGAAATGCTCGAACATCGAAACATCGAAAGTATCGAAACACAATTAATAATAAATATTTAATGTTTTATTTTCAGAACTGTTCGACATAATTCAGTTGATTTTCGATATTACTGAAATGGGTGAGTATCTACATCTCTTTATTAATGACTAGTAAAACAAAGACTGCCTCGTTAGCCGAGAGTCGACTGCGACTGCCGGGCAGGGGGTCTCGGGTTCGATTCCCGAGTCGGGAAAAGTATTACTGGGTTTTAAAAAAAAATCTCAGTAGTAGCACGGAGTCTGGAATTGTGCCCAGTATATGGCAATAGGCTCACTCTCTATTACATGGGGCTCGTAACATAAATAGTGAACAGTGGGTGTTACTATACAGTGTTATTATACAGTGGTATAATGTGCACCTCTGCCTACCCTTTCGGGGATAAAAGACGTGATGTTATGTTA